TCTGTAAATGAATCAGAAGAGAAAATTTCAACACTTACATTGACTGAGGACCAGAGGAATCTGCAGAAGAGAATGATAAGGAACCAGGTGCTTCTTCAGCAGCAGATGTCAAATTTAACAAGTTTGTGAAAGACAACAAAGTCAATCTATCTCAAAAGAACAGACAACTCAGTCTGCCCAGAACCTGGAGGTAAATGTGTTCTTTGCCAAATACTCTGGGCCTACAGTTGAAAAGGCACGCTGGGACACTTTATAGAGCTGGGGCTAACAACGCAATCTGGGCCCCAATGGCCAGGAAATGGAGATTTATCCGAGACTCTGTTTATAGGCTTATCCTGAACAAAAACAGAATAGCCTCGACACAGCAGATGGGGGCAGGTGACAATTACCTTCTTGAAAGGCAAGACAATGACCATGAGAGCAAAGTCTCAGGAAATGTACAGGAAGAGGAGAAAGCAGAAGTAGCTAGTATGGTTCAAGCAAGACTTCAGCCCAGTGGGCCTTACTGGCACCATGGTGGAAACACAGCAGGAGCAGAGCCCAAGTTAGTGAACTCTCCATTTCCATCTGGTTGAGTCTTGTTTATAACTAGTCTCTGACACAGATGGTGGGTTCATCTGCACTTTCACGTTGGACAGGCCAGAGAATTCCAGACGGTGGTAGGAGATGGACATATTTCTTCACGTTACTGGTCTGCCGATAAACTACTCGGAACTGGAGGACTCTATGATGTACCCTCCACGTATTAAGACGTTTAAGAAGTTGATGAAAAGCCTGAAATAATGATAGACTAGGTGGAACAAGAACCACAACAGTGTACTACTTGAATGAGCCATGTTTGATCTACCATTAATCACAGAGAGGAGGTAGCTAAATCAACTCACCTATTGCTACGGTCTGAATGTCCTGTACAAAACTCGTGTTGAAACTTAAGCCCCAGTGCAGCAGGATCGAGAAGCAGGGCCGTCAAGAGGTGACTGTTATCATGAAGGCTCATGCATGGATTAACCCACTCACAGACTACTGGGTTAATGGATTAATGGGTTATCATGGGAGGAGAAACGGTGGCTTTATCAGAAGAGAAAGAGAGACCTGAGCTGGCATGTAAACACACTCAACCCCCTCACCACGAGACTCCTGGCACCACCATGGGACTCTGCAGAGTGCCTGTCAGCAAGAAGGCTCTTACCAGATGTAGCCCCTTGACTTTTGACTTCTTACCCTCCATAACTGTAAGAAATAAATTTCTTTTCTTTATAAATTAGCCAGTTTCAGGTGTTGTTATAAGCAACAGAAAATAGACTAAGACATGGCTCAATGACAGTTTTTGCTCATGTATCTTAATGATTATCTTTGATAAGAACTTCTGGATCTTCAATTTCAGTTTCCCTCCATAACTATGTAGTATCATCGTAATGGTACTACATGGGTTAGGATATTGAACAAAGTATATCTATATGTGACCCGGGTTTGATGCTTGGCACTTTGCAGCCATTCTGTCGCCGTGCAGAGCCAGTCTGAGGACACATAGCACATGGTAGATGGCACAGTGGAAAGAGAGTAAGAACTGGGGTCTCTGATATCATCGAGCCACTGAATTAACAACCCCAAGACCTGCTTTCAGGACTCATGAGAAATATCAACTCCCCTTATGCTTAAGATAACTTCCCACCTGTCCCAATTTAGGAATTCCTTTTAAAATCTATTATATATTAAGGATCTCACATAAAATTCTCTGAGCACCTACTATTAGAAAAAGTATCTGAAAAGCACTTATCTAAAAAAATTCTAAGTATCTTAACATTACATATTTTACCTGAAAAAACATATATTCATTCCTGGGTTGTTTGTTGGTCCCACAGGACAGTGGCTCTCAAAGTGTGGTCCCCAGATAAAACATCATCATCACCAGGGAACTCAACTAAAACATAAACTCTCAAGCCCCACCCCAGACTTGGTAAATCAGAAATCCTTGGGGCTAGGGCCCAGCAGTCTACGCTTGAATAAGTATCCCTAGTGATTCTGATACATGCTAAGACTTAAGAAACTCTGCTGCAAGAAACATTATGACATCAGATATCAGTCATCATTAGTCACAATCAAATGAATGTCGAAGCATATAAAATGGGCTACATAAGTACCACCCTACCCTCCAGCTTCCAAACAAAGGAAGTATTGTCATATTAATAGATGATGAAAGGCCAAGGGGGGGGAAATGAACATTCAACAAATGCTCAAACAAAAGCTTTCACATCATTATTGTGTGTAGATAATGAGATTATTTGGTAGTATACTATGAAAATAGAAGACCTGGGAATAACAAAGTTGAGAAAGAATGCGGTTGAGGAAAACAAAACTCTTGTAATTAGCTAGGAGAAGTTTTCTTAGCTGATACAGCTGAAATTAAGGAGTTGTTGGAAGAGTGGAATAAAGTAGAAATCCTCAAAAAGGGGAGGGGGCACATAACTACATGAAATAATGAATTAGATAAAATTATAAGGTGCAAAGGTTTGAACAAGAGACTTGAGAAGTCGTAAGTGACTTGGCAAAAGGTTCTGAGGGAGAGCTTGGCTTTTGGGCCTAAAGGAAGGTTGTTTAAGGGTGTGTAGGATAGAACGGCCAAGCAGGCATGAAGTCATCGAGTGACATTTGAGATCTGGGTAGTAACTGCCTGTGTTGATGGGAACGGATTGAGCCTCCATGATATCCTTAATATTGTCCTGTGTGCTGTGGAGCAGAAGAGAAATGAGGATATGTGAGTATTTACAACCCAGGTATAGAAAAGAAAACAGGGAAGGTAGATATTTAGGCTTCAAGCACTCAAGAAATCAGTACATACCTTGAATGATCAGAAGTGCTAAGGGCAAGAAACAGTAAAACAGGCCAATAGTTCAGACATGAACACTGAAAAATCTGAAATTATTCTAGCAACCTTAGCAGGAAGCTTTTGCAGAGGGAGATCCAAGAGCACAGTTCTCAATCTGGCTGCCCATTAGAATCCCTGGGAACTTTTATGAAAACACACTGGGTCTGACTCCAGACCAACTGAAACTGAATCTTTAACTGATGCTTGGAGAGGCATATCTTTTAAAAACTCCCTCATAATTCTGATGTATAACCATTTGTCCTAGAACATAAAAAAAAACAGTGGAAGAAAATCTAAATGAAGAGAGAATATTAATAAATATTGAATGCCATATTTACTTTTTATTACTCTGCTAATATGGAGTTCTAACTATTCTAATAATGGAAAGGAATCACTATTGGTTTATTTTAAGGATTAGCTCTCGTCTCAAAGGGGCTTATTATGACTAGGACATAAGAACACTTCCTTCTGTGGGTTATGTTAGTCTTAATAATATTCTGGGGAAAAGGTTTGCACAAATAAAGTCAGGGTTTGTGGTTCTCTGGAAAGTACACTAGGGAATACAGAGGAGTACAGACATGCCCTGAAGGACCTCAGAATCCAGCTGGAGGGATGTGAACTTCTCACAGGTGCCAAATGAGCACAACAGGGAGAGAGTGGGCAAGAAAGTTCCAGGGACAAAGGAAATTTGGCTGAGGATGTGGGGGGTTCCTAGGATCTGGAAGGGAAGAGTGGAGGTTTGCTGGTGGGCAGGCACAAAGCTTTGTAGGGCCACCATGAGAAGCGGCTTGGGAGATGGTTGACTCTCTACCTCTGTGCCACTCACCTGGTTACCATAATAACCTCGTTCCCTTCCCAGTGATTGGTTTAAGAAGGAACATGTGACTCAATTCTGGCCAACAAGATGTAAAGAGCCATTCTCTAGGGTGTGGAAGTTTCCTCATTCCTAAAAGAGATACATGATGCCTTGCCTGGATGTGATGGTTGATACTTTTACAGCCATTCTGCCACCATGCAGAGCCAGTCTGAAGGATGTACCAGCCCAGAGTGGATGGCAGAGTGAAGTGACAGTAAGAACCTGGGCCTCTGAAGATATCACTGAGGCACTGAATCAATTATCTCCAAAAATTTATCTCTGAACTTACATTATGAAAAAGATAAACTTTCCCTATTATGAAAGGCAATTTGTTTCAAGGTTTTCTTGGGGTTCTACTTGCATCTAAAATATATTCAAACAGTAAGACTGGAAAGATGAGTCCAGAATGGATTCTTGAGGGCTCAAATGCCAGCCCATTTTGTGCTATGGGCAAAGAGACTTTATTAAGTAGGAATCTCATGAGAAGGAGTGGCATTGTTGGTTGTAACCTGAATGGCAAGAAAAAAAAGGGTTGGGTTACTCATCAATAGCCCATAAAAGGTTTCATTCCATAACCTTCTTATGGGGCACTAAAAGTGGCTGTGGAAAAAGTCAAGATTGGGCAAAAAATGTACCGACTCTCATAAGATGTGGAGGGAAAGGGCCATGTTACCTCTGCATATTTGCTTTGCTAAACACCCATTCTCCTTATCTGCTTTGATGAGGCCTCCCTGTGATAATCAATTAGAAATTAAATTCTCAATGTAGCTCATTGAAATGGAAATATTCCTCCCCCTTCACCCACACATGGAAGCAGTCAATGTGCAGCTAACACAACTAATTTTAAAGAACCCATCCAAAAGGAAGGCCTTGCCCCATGCCCTGAAGGTTGCTAAAACTGCACATGAAAGAAGTTGTAAAAACTGCACATAAAAGAAGCTGTAAAAAAAAAAAAAATTACAAGCTGCTTTATTTTGCATAAAACTCCTATCTGCACCCGTTACAGTGCATGTAATAAGTAATTATCTTCTCCATGCTCCCAACAATTATCTTCTCTAACCAGTTTTTAAAATATTTTCCATTCTACTTTCCTTTTAAGATTAACAATACAATTCCTAAACCATTGATTCCTTTAACCTCTTCTCTTAGAGCCCCAAGCTAGAGTCCAATTATCCAGACAAATAATTACATGCTGTGGCTATATCATAACAGAGATCAAAATCTATGGAATTTCAGTAATATTTTTTGGCCAAGAAAACCTGGAAAAGCTAGCTGCCAATATAGGATATTAAAGGAAAATATGAATTCTGAATATGAACAGGAGTTCATTGCTACTTTCTAAAATTTGAAACATCACTTCCTTTTCATGCAAATCCTTATCAAGTGACTACTAAGGGCTATTTACAATCCTAAGAGACAAGGACAAGTGATACAGCCTTTGTACTCATGGAACACAGAGCGATGGAAGGGAAGTTATTATGACATACTATGATTTAGCTGTGTGCTAAGTAGTTAGCCTAGCGGTGTGAGCTATAGAACCACAGAGGAGCAGGAGATAACCCAAACTAGGATATGGGAAAGGGTTATCAAAGGACAACACCTCTGAAATGAGTCTTAAAGATGAGTAAGTTGGCCCTGAAAAAGGGAGGAAGTACAGTCTTCAAAGAGGATGCGGAGCAGATGCACAGGGAAGAGGAAACCACAGGATGGGGTGTGTATAGGGGAGTTTTGGGAAATTAAGTACGCAAGGGATGGATGACTGATGGTTTTGTATGGCAAGCTAGAGAGCTGGCTTTGACTTTGGAAGCAATGGGAGTCATTGAAAGATATCTAAGCTCAGAAGCCACAGGACTGAGTTTTTAGGAAATAGTGCTCTGGCTGAAGTGAGGAAAACAACTTGCTTTGCCTAGAGGAGGAGGAACTTGGAGGAAGGAGACCCTTAGGGGCTATTCCAGCATGGAGGCATAGAATAGGAATTAGGAGAGAGGTCTGGGCTGGAAGTATAGACAAGGAACCTGGGTGTGTGTGATGGGTGAGCCCAAGGGTATAGTTGATGGTCCTCATGGAGAGGAAAAAAGTCTTAAATTTTGAGGTGGAAGACCATGAAACTTTCCTGGTTAAGGCTGCCTACGGAGGAAGTCCCACAAATCCTGGGATGTTAATGAGGCCATACAGCATTTCTTTCCTGTAACCCTGCATAGATAATTCTGTTTGCTGGGCACAGACTATACTGCATATTTAATCTACTTCCAGCTCAAATGCAAATTCATGTCCTTTGTCTCAAAGGCAAAGGAGTAAGAAAGTATTTGTGGTGCAACGCAAAACATTAACACTGAACAGAAACAAAAGATACGTATCACTCCTAGAACTGCTTATACCAAGATATTTGTTTCTACCAACCAATCATACCCTCACTTTGCCTTTTTGTTAAACAATCAACAACCAAACCTAAGCTTTCTGCAGCCTCTCATCTTCCACCTGAAATGAGTCTATGCTTTTGATTAATACTTTTATTCTTACCATCATTCCCTTTGTTCTTAAAGTGAGTGCTCATGTTCCACTTACAGATGAGCTAATACGTGCAAAGTGCCTAGTACAGTGCCTGCCACATGGAAAGCACCCAGTAAATAAGTTATTATCACCTGCTGTTTAAAACACTTTCTCCTCCCCAAGTCATTGATCAGGGAGTCCATTCGTTTAATTCTCCTCTCCACTTTGTTATAGAGATTCTCTGTATATATGTGTACAAGGTGCTAGATCTCCAACATGTTTGCTCTGTGGATCACAACTATGAAGCACCGTAACTGAGCTGTTTGGGGTCCTCACTGGGAGAAGGGAGAATCAGGTATCCTTTGTTATTTGTATTTGCTTCAGAGACCAGTGCATTTCTCTCAGGACATGTGTTTAGATATTTATAATTTGTTTGTATATGATGTGCCTTACAGGAGGCACGAGAATAGTTAAGTTACTGAATCAGAAAATGTCATCGCTTTTCCTAGCAACTCATCTGAGCAGATGGTAAATGACTACTTTTATGGCTTGTTTCTCCATTACATGTAGAAATATTTATTAACATTGTATTTCTGTCGCATGTGTGCAACCAGCAAGAAACCAAGTTAGGCAGCTGCCCCAGTGGCTGGGGGCAGGGAGAGAGAATGGTGATCAAGTCTAGCCTTTGTCTCAGCAGGTGAGCAAGCTGAGCTTCAGCCTCGGGGCAGAGGAGCAAGGAACACCTGCTTGTTCCCCAATGCCAAAAGGGGCCAAGCAAAGCAGCCCCAGCAGCTGCCAGGAGCAACTCTCATGACATAACAACATCTTTCACCAAATCTGAGATGTCACTGACCACAAGGTGTACATTACTTTATGCACCACTGAGAAAGCAGAAGCATCCAAGATGGAGAGTTGAACAGGGAAGCCCCACCTGAAGCTGAGGAACCAAAGGCCACAAAGAAATAAGCCTGCCAGGCAGAAAGGGATGGCAAAGAGATGTGCATGTTTCAACCTGGGCACTGGGCAAACGGAGGGAGGAATCTTCCCTGAAGAGTTGAACCATAAGCCACAACTCACTCGGGTAGGTTTGCATTCTGAATCCCCACCACTGGTTGGTCTAAAAACCCCCAGGCAGAGAATCTAAACTTCTGTCTTAGTTTGGCAGTGCCCCTGGTGACTAGCAGAGGCAAACTCTCTGGAAGAAAGGGACTGCCATGGCAGCTCTAAGCTGCATCCTGATTTCAGATATGTTAATGCATAAAAATATGTACACCTGGGAATAGAAATACAGGAACCCTCGCGCACTATGAGGCCAACCTGGGAGTTGCCTGGGGTCTGGAGCTAAGCATATCAAAATCAAGAAGAGAGCAAGACAGAAACCAAAGTCAAAAATGCAAGATAGGGTCCAACAGGTGACCCACTGAAGGAAACGAAACGAAAGCAACGGGAGACGGGTAGAGTCACTAGGGACTGCACCCAGGAGCAGGTCAGGGACAAGCAGGCTAGGCCTGGGCTACAGCTCTGTCCACTCATCTTCTGACCTTAAGAACCAGGAGAGACGCTCTCCCAGCTTCAACTCCTCATCAATAAAATGCAGAAAATACCTTCTCCAGGATTACTGAGGAAATGAAAAAGCAATCTTAAAAGCATTTTACATTCTATAAAAGCACCATGCCAATAAAATGATACTTATTCTTGATTTAAATATTCTGAATGCTCCTTTGTCAGATCCTGTGTTTTCTCTTTTTCCCCCCTAATTTTCACTTAGCAAAGGTTTGTGCATAAATCAGGCCCTTAAAACACTCTTATTAAGTGAATAACCAAATACAGCCGACATCTGGCTCCAGCCCTATTCAGCCTCAAGTTCCTGAGGGCTGGATACAATTGCTAAAAATAGAAAGGGGAGGAAAAAAAAAAAAAAAAACAAAAGCCACCAATCCAAGACAGAACGTATTTATGCGTAAACAAGTACACAGTACTCACACATCCACCCTTAGGCTCCCTAAAACTCACACCTACAACAAAACCAAAATACAAGCTGGGAAGACATGATGTTTTCACAACAGCAGACTGGAGTTAGACTCCAGGAGGCAACTTTAGAGTGGATCAAACAGGATAGAAGACAGGCAGCCTCAAAATGAAAGGACTGTTCATTACTGGCAAAAAGACCCTCAGTATCATGAAAGAACACCCTAGGAGAAGCGACCACAGTCTAGGTCTCCTGGAACACCCTGGTATCCGCTGCCCAAGCTTATTAACAGGGATAGCAGGGAGAGGAGGTTCCAGCCAAGGCACAGAGCTTCAAGTAAGAGTGGAGATGAGGTTCATGGCCAGGAGAGAGAAATTGGGGGTTGAAGATGAGGGCTTCTATTTGCAACCTGAGTAGCCCTGGGTGCCGGAAGGGGCCTCCTGGTTCAGGGAGAAGAACAGGAAGGAATGGAGACTTGGGTTCATTCAGGCTCTGCCCTCACCCATCCCATGCCTCTGGGTGGACTTGTCCATACAACAAAAAGTTGGACAGGATGATCTAAGGCAGTGTCCACGACCTTTTTGGTACCAGGGACTGGTTTTCACAGAAGACAAAATTTCCACAGTGAGGGGGGCAGCAGGTAGCAGGGGATAGTTTCAGGATGATTCAAGCACCATTTATTGTAGAGTGAAACCTCTCTGCTAAGGATAATCTGTATTTGCAGCTGCTCCCCAGCACTAGCATCACCACCTCAGCTCCACCTCAGCTCACCAGGCATTGGATTCTCATAAGGAGTGTGCAACCTAGGTCCCTCGCATGCGCAGTTTACACTAGCGTAACAGAGTGGTCGCTCCTCCTCCCACAGATATGGAAGGGAAATATCGGGAGTGGGGAATATGTAACAGAGGGAATGGCCTGAAAAAAACAGCAAAGATATTTTCTTTCTTTTTAACACATCCTGCACTCCTTTTTGAGAACTAAAGCCTGCATCCCTGCCTCAGGCCAGTGGTTGGGAGGGGCAGGGTAAGTCTGTTGTCATTAATACTTGTACAACAGGAGATGGCCCAGCCTGGACCTGGTAAAGGGAGGTCATGAGATTGTCTTCAGCGGAGACAGGACCATCAGAATCATCAACTGTGGCTGAACAGTAATTGCCTGAAGCTGAGAGCCCATCCTTTAAAGGCTCTATATTTCTGCTTATTATGAGGACTATGGCATTTCAGACAGGAGTCTCCATCCTCCTCTTTTGCTGGCCAAAATAACAAAATGTCTCTTTCCCTCCTCCTCAAAACACTTGTTCTCATTGTTCTGATGTGGCCTCGAGGACAAGTGGCGAGCTTTCAGTAACGCTAGGGTTAGAGAATCTAATGCAGCCGCTGATCTGACGGGAGGCGGAGCTTATGCAGTCAAGCGAGCGATGGGGGAGGGGGGTGGCAGCTGCAAATACAGATGAAGCTTCGCTGGCTGGTCCGCTGCTCATCTCCTTCTGTACAGCCCAGTTCTTAACAGGCCACAGGCTGGTACCAGCCTGCAGCACAGGGATTGGGGACCACAGCAGTAGTACCTCCCCTAAGCCACACACTTAAGAACTGATCATTTTAAAGCCAAGGTCCATGTTTGGCCAAGGGGGCCCTTATGCCTTCTTTCCATTCATTTCGTTCTGAACATTTGTTTCAGTAACCATTTCAGAATATTTCTATGGGGGCTGTTTCAGTTAACAAACCAGAGAAAGGTAGAAACCTGTCCAAGCTACAAGTTTTTAAAAAGTGGTCTCAAGTTCTGGCTTCTTGCAGACATTCCTTGCATTTTTAACAATGGATAACTACCAGAATCCCCAACCCACAAGTTTCCTGTAGATTAAAGAGAAAAGAAAAACAAAAACATGGAGGTCCAAGACTTGCCCAGTAATAAACAATTTTTCTGGGAAACTGGAAACAAGGTTTATTTCACCTCAGTCAGGATGTTAGCTAGCATTTTTGTTGGACTCAAATTCTTATAGACTTAAATATTTCCTATTTTCAATCTTTGGCTCACAGCTAAATAGTTAAGGATTCTTATCTGGGGGCCCCTACTTGATAAAGACTTAGGAAAACGTAGTTCTAAAAAAAATGCTTAAACAAATCTTTCTTGTGACAGTAACAGTCTTTTCCTTCATGAGGAAATCTGGCTGCTAGAGCTAATCTGCAGGAATTTGCTGCCAAAGACGACAAGCTCTGTGGGTTTGTGGGGTTTGCTTTGGACATTAACAGTCTGAACTGCTGAATGCCCCAAAGACTTTCAGACTCTGGTGTATCTTACAAACACAATTTTGTTAAGGTTCCACTGCTATTTCGTACTTTAGAAATTAAAGAACAAAAAAGTTAAATAGCTTACTCAAGGGCATAAAATAAGTCCGAGTCAAGATTTTAGCTTTGAATTAAAGACTGGCTTTATGCCCCTTGTCCTCAGAGACAGAAGCTCATTGTTGGTTTGGTGAGGAAGCTTTCTCTTTTAGTTACATTGTTAAAGGAGATAATTGGTTTGTTGTCAACATCTTTGTTTTTTAATGCAACTTCTCTGATGCTTCTGGGCTTTTCCCCCCAGCTTTATGGAGGTACAATAGACAAATAAGAATTATACATATTCAAGGTATACAATGTGATGATTTGATATACATATATCAAATATATGGTGTATATCAACTACCACAATCTAATCTTTCCCTATTTTACTTCTAGGAATTTTATGGTTTCAGGTCTTACTTTTAAGTCTTTAATCCATTTAAAGTTGATTGTTTTATATGGTATAAGAGTGCAATTTTATTCTCTGGCATGTAGATTTCCATTTGTCCCAACACCATTTAATGAAGAGACTATCCTTTCCCCATTGTGTATTCTTGGTGTCCCCCCGAAAGGATGTTTCTGTGTAGCTCTCCAGGTATATACTAGATCCATTTGACATTTAAGGGATCATTTGTGCATTTATCATTTTCTCCCAATGGATTTTAAGCTGCTTCCCAGGGCAGGGACCAGGACTTATTTCTCCTGGTAACCATCTTTTGCCTCACCCAGAGTAATGTCCCATCACAGAGCCTGAGGAGAGCATGAAGTGACGAGATACACAGATTATTACCCTTGTTGTGTTCCCAGGGAAGTCTTTCATAAAGACTAAAAACACAAGTCATCAGTTCTAAATAAATGTATGTAGGTTTCGGGTATTCCTTTACTGACCCAAATTAGACTAATTCCTACCCCCTAGAAATTCTCATGACACAACAGAGCAAAAAAAGCTCTAAAAGCACACTGCATCGTAAAAAAAAGACCCTTAACCTATAAGCTTAATGAAGAGCTGGAAAATTTTTATGGAAAATAAACTTTATACAAACTTCCTTCCTTCCCAAGAGGCTCTGGCAGCACCAGAGATCCTCAGGACAAACAGAAGCCTTCTTGCGGAGCATGTGAATTTTTCCATCTCCTGTGTCTACACTGCACCCCTTACACTGGCAAGGGCAAAGTTCACACGTGAAGGCCAACAGCAAGACGCCAGGACAAGTCGCATGGGGGCTCAGGAGCAAGCCAGTGAGTAAGCAGGCCTGGAAACTGGAATTTGAGCCACATTTGTGCTAGGTTCTGCTTAGGAGATGGGAGGGCAACACACGCTCTTGCAGAGAGGAAAGGAAAGAGGAAATCACCACTGGCTGGAGGAATGTCTATTAGGTACGGGAAAGAAAGGAATGGATTATGATGGAGTCTCAGGGGTTTTTTTTGTTTTGTTTTGTTTTGTTTTGTTTTAATCTCCAATTGCCTAGAATCTCTGTTCTTTGCAGATTTAAGAACAATGTAGATGCACCAGTAAAATGATTGAGGTCTGAGGCCGTTTAAGTTGTGTTTTTCTCCTGCAGTAATGGGCCTCATGGTCAGAAATCTCTGTGTAGACACAGACTCCTTTTTGTTAATAACAACTTGAGAATTTTCACACTTGCCAAGTCAGTTATTATTTGGAACTCAAATCTGACTCACATGTACATGAAGGCTTTGCTCACAACTGTTTTACTATGGTCAGCAATGCTTCGTAAAGCCCAAGTTTAATGATATAACTTTGGCAGGGTTAATATAAATAGCTCTAAATTATTAATTTATCTTTGGGTGTAATTAGTAACCATTCAGCCTACTGACATGTTATCTGATAGCTGTCAGTTGTCTAGGGACCTTTATCAGGTGAGGACCCAAAATAAAAATTTTAACTTAATATGTTAGGCTCTCCAAAGAGGTCAGGTGGACTTCAGGTAAGAAGTCTAAAAACAGAGGAGATATTGGATTAAATATCTTAGATTTCTAGTATTGGGCATTCTGAAAGCATTTTGGCAGTTTAGCCCTTAAATGAGGATTTAGACCAGATGGGAGATTATAAATTACAGAATTTTACTGAAGAGGCTTAATTCTGGTTAATCAAATGATGACTAATTTCCAATCTGGAATTTGATCAAATCAATTAGCAAAACTGGTACCCAAAAAATGGTCCAAAGTAAAATTGTTAGGAGGGCTATAGTAACTGAAAAAAGAGGTCCTATTATATTTCTTAGTCCATCAAACCTTGTACTGCTAAATTCTAATCTACCCTAATATTTAATTTTTAAAAGTTATTATTTTTTTTGCAAAGTTATTATTATTTTTTTACTTGTTGTTCATCTTGGCCCATGAAAGCAGGTTTTACTTAGATGATGGGCTGTTTAGGAGTTAATGTCCCATTCCAAGGCA